ATATATATATATATATATATATATATATATATATATATACATATATATATATATATATATATATATATATATATATATAAATATTTACTGCTACTATTTTCGAGTTAGGACAACTGAAAAATATGGCTTATATATATGTTACTACTACCATTTTCGCGTTAATGCATAACAAAGAATAAAAAAAAAGACGCAAATATAGCTGCGTAACGACGCTTAATGATTAAACATATTAAAAGAGAAGGAGCACGTGACAGAAGTACGTAATTCATTGGGATCAAGCATAAGCTCGTGCCAATGAGAGATTTTCGAATTCGGTGCTGACCAAGAAACGTCGAAGCTCGGGAGCGTTGGCGGTACACAAAAATAAAACTGTGACCGGTCGACGTCGACACACACCCACATACAGAGAGAGAGAGAGAGAGAGGGAGCGGGAGAGAGGGGGCTTTCTTGCGCGAGTGGCGCTTTCTTCGGGTTGGCAATCCTTCACAGTTAACGCCCCTAATCGTATTCATTAAAGTGCTCTCAATGCTTTTACACGGCTCTCAAGCTCCGCCACCACTTTCTCGCTCCCGCTTCTCGCAAACGCTTCTTCCTCGTCCCCCTCAATCCCACCACGTCCTTCCCCCCGTCGCTCCTTGTCGTGGTCCTTCCGCCTTACCGCTTTCAACGCCCAAGATTTCGAGCGGATTCTCTCTCGCTTGCCTCTCTCATCATTCTCTCTTCCTCGCTCTCGCGTTCGCACACTTCGGGTTAAATAAAATCTCTCTCTCTCTCTCTCTATTTTTCTCCTTTACCCGCGCGTACCCTTCTCGCGTCCCGCCGACACTCGTCTCTCTTACTCTCTCGTTCTCTTTCCGGGGCCGATGGTCGGGAGAGCTTTTAAGTTGGCAACAATACGCGGATTTATAAACCAGAGGCACCGGCATTGTTATCGGCGAGTGATTGGAAGGCGTCGTTTCGACACTGGCCGAATACCAACCATCGGTTGCCCGGCCATTGTTGACCCCTTTATCTTGGAAATTCGCGGTGCTACGATCTCCACCTTCCGTCCGTACGCGTACGTCCGTCCGTCCGTCCGTTCAGGGACTCGCTAAATCACTCGGTTTTATTGATGGACCGCGGGCAGAAAGGCGCACGCCGGAACGGGCCAGCGCCCCGGTATCACGGTTCCTGATAAACGGCCCATTGTGGGCCGTCTTTTCTTCATGGCTCCTTAGTGTGTCGCGCGCGCGCGCGCACCGCAGTTCCGTCCGTTTTCCTATTCGAGCACGGATACCTGCCGAATCGGATTTACTCGTTCGCCTGTCGTATGCATGTCGGGGATGCGGATTGATATAACACGGACGCGCCGTGGAACGACAGCTCGGTCGCACCTTTCTCTCCGCGGCTCGAAAGATCCCCGTTACGTCTCTTAATAGTGTCTCGGTTGGTGGCAAGGAACGCGATTAATTAGATCTCCTGTCGTCGGTGTTTGTTTTGGTACTTACTGCAGCCTAATA